AGGACTGGATCTGAGCACGAGGAAGCTCTCTTCCACCCTGGTCACCTTGACTCTGCGGGGAAGGATTCGTTTGGGCCGTGCTCCTCACTCTCGGTTGCTCGGTGGAATCACCGGCTCAGTTCCACACCTAGAGATTCTGATTGATTTGTTCTGGGATGAGGCCTGGGTGGTGAGAATGCTTAAAAATTCTCAGATGATTCTTATTTACAGCCAAGATTGAAAACCACTGCCTTAGTAACCTTTACCACACTTGGCAGACATTATACACCAAAAGCGGAAGAGTCAACAAGATAAGTTTTTCTGTGGTTAATGTCTAGCCTAAGGAGGGGAAATGTTACTGACCTGCCTACTATTCCTGTGTCTGTCTGATTTTTCCTTTCCTCTGGATATGTGTTTTCTTTGGAAAAGACATATATGACATATCGGCATCTTCACAGCTAGCTTGTATGCTTACTGTGTGGCAAACATATTCTCAAGTTTCATCTTCAAAACAACCCCATGAGGTAGGTACTCACATAATCCCCATGTTACAGATCAGAAAACCGAGCTGCAGAGAGAGTAATTAACTTTTCCATGGCCATCTAGATAGAGCACCAGAGACAGAATCATGCAAGCACATTCAAAAACCTCTGGGGGGTGACCTCTCATCTAACCTAAGCGAGACCGACCATACCACTCACTAGAAGCTCTCAGCTATCCTTTCCCTGCCTTTTAGAAACTTCAGAACCAAATGCCCTCAGATCTCTTTCTAATGCGTTTACTCTTTGGCTTAATTTGTTGATCCCATGTAAGAGGTGGCAGTGGCATTGGCTGTAATCCAAAATTGATGCTACAGTTGCCTTGAAAAGAGAAAGTGTTAGTCTCTCAGTCCTGTTCGACTTTATGAGATCCCATAGACTATAGCCCACCAGGCTCCTCTGTTCACGGAATTCTCCAGGCAAGAACATTGGAGTGGGTTGCCACTCCCTTCTCCAGGGGATCCTCCTGATCCAGGGATCAAACCCAAGTCTCGCGCACTGCAGGCAGACTCTTTACTGTCAGCCACCAGGGAAGCACAGTTGTCATAGATGGATCTAAAACGTTCCTTAAATTCGGCCAGAACACACGCAGCCACTCACAGATGAAGGAGTCTTCTACAAGCCAGAGCATCTTCCCTCAAGGTCAAGGGTATGTTCGCCACTTCTGCAATAGATCATTGTTTCCACAATGAAGTACAGACACTCCATGGGGTGAGACTCTGTAACACTTCCTGAGACAGCTTCTGTTAGCTCCAGATTTATAATCAAGTAAAAGTCAGCCTTCTACTGTTTCCTTAAACTAGTTATTTTTAGCTACATACACAAATCTGTGCTCTTGTAAGCAAACTGTATAAACAGCTGAGGTCTGCATGCTAACACAGTGTACACGATTTTTTTTTTTTAAGTAAAGATTTTTAAAGGTAAATTCAACCCAAGGAGCAAGAAGTAGTTGTGTTTTTACCATAGACATTGCCTGGACTTCTTTCTTTTCCAGTTTTTTTCAGTTTTGCTGGATCTTTTTGATGATTTTCTTCAGCATCGTAGCCACTCTTTTCATAGTTCTCAAGGGCTTCTTGCTGAGTGATAGACGTTATTGTGGCTTCTCTATCCTCCTCTCGAAAAGAGCCTTTTGCTTCGAGGGCTTTCAAATCATCAGTAAGGCCAGATTTGCCACACTGGCACTTGGGCAACCTGCACAGAAAGAAAAGACTGCGAGAATGAGGGGGTGAGTCCCACCTGGCACTACTGGGCTCAGGGGCTTCAGGCTTGGGTATCTGTTGACGGCTCCATTACCAAACCAGCAGTTGTCCTAGGTTTGCAGGGGCGCTGGGACAAACATCAGAATAATATGTTTAGTGCTATCAACTTTACCTCCAGGACGTGGGATTAGAGGATGGGAAATGCGGTGGACAGGAAAATTGTTACTGTTTGCTCTAATACACTTACGTGCTCCTTGAATTTTATCGGTCCTGTATTACTCTTACTATTGAAAAACAAGGAAACAGAAATCAAAGCATACCAGAATCGTCAAACACAGGAGCATCTGAACCCCAGTGGTCTGAGTCAAGGGCTGGTTTGCCTGTGACCTGAGGGAGACGGTCCCTGCAGGACACAGAACCGTGGGACAAGCCCGGCCCTGCCCTCAGCTACCTCCTGACAGGCAAGGTGGGTTGTAGCGGGGTGTCCCCTCAGCTTGGGTCCCCACACTGCTCAATGAGCTCTGGAGGTGGGTACTGGTTAGTGCCGCCTAAAAATGAAATAAAACATCACGTCAAATAAAGCACAAAATAGTACGAAACTCAAAAATAAAATGAAGTAAAATAAAGCACAAGACCAAAATGTTATCCATTAAGACATAAAATAAAATCAATTAAAGTATACAATATACAATGAGCAAAATAGAGTATGACAAAATAAAATACAAAACAAAAAAGTCCATTGACATAAAATCAAAAAGATGTAAACTCGAAGTATAAATTTTTATTTTTGTATTTTGTGTTTTGAGTTTACATCTTTTTGATTTTATGTCAATGGACTTTTTTGTTTTGTGTTTTATTTTGTCATACTTTATTTTCCTTCACTGTATATTGCATACTTTAATTGATTTTATTTTACGTCTTATGTCTTAATGGATAACGTTTTGGTCTTGTGCTTTATTTTACCTCATTGCATGAGACAAGTGCTCGGGGCTGGTGCACTGGGATGACCCAGAGGGATGGGATGGGGAGGGAGGTGGGAGGGGAGTTCAGGATGGGGGACACATGTAAATCCATGGCTGATTCATGTCAGTGTATGACAAAAAGCACTACAATATTGTAAAGTAATTAGCCTGAAACTAATAAAAATAATTGGGGGATAAAAAAAAAAAGAAGAGCACCAATCAATTTAATGATAATTGAGATAATTTTGAAAGACTGTTATAGATACATTAATGTGTGAAAATTAACCCAATTAAATGTGAAAAAAAATAAATAAAAATAAAAGCATAAAATGAATTCTATTGTGTAAGCAATATAAAATAAAACTATAACATAAAAGAACAAAATATGAAATGCAACCTAATGTAATAAAACATGTAAAACGAAATTAAAACAGACTAGAAAAATAATCCTCGAGGCTCCTTCTCCCTCAAAGAATCACTAAGCCTTCAGTTACCTGTTACAGTTCTTTCTTCCACCTCTTGCAAAGGTGAGGAATCTCAAGGTTCACTGACCTTTCTAGAATCACACAGCTCTTGAGTGGCAGGGCTTAGACTAGAGCCAATTCATTAATGTCCATGTCTCTCAAGTTGCAGAGGCGCAAGTGCTGTGTCTCTGCTTCTAAGGAGTCCAGCAGACTTCCTTCATTCCCTCGGTGACGGAGGAGCTTTATGTGAAGGGATGTCATACCCACTTACAAACTGAGAAACTGGTGTCTCCCAGCAAAGAGGCCAAGAAGGCCTCCCATGTCCCGAGGAGGTACCCACACATGAGTTGTTTGGTACTATGCACAGCTGGACAAAGCCCAAGACAAACTCCTACAAACGTGACCAGCATAATACCCACCCTCCAACCGAACCATCTCCATCATCATGCTAGGATACAGATTTGGTGCCAGTTACCCATAAATCTCATTCAACTTGTTCTGACTGGAAGTGAGGAAGTAGAACAGGATACGGGAAAGAATTCTGGCCAAGATGCACGGTCACAGCACTTTTCACTGGCGCTCCAACCTGAGATGGGAGGTTCCAGATTCCTGTCCTGTCTCCCTCATTTCCTAGCAAGTCCCTGAAAACTCCTGCAAAGTATGGTCCCTGAACCAGCAGCAGCAGCATCAACGGGGAGCTTATTTAAAACGCAGACTGCCCACTTTGCTGCACAGAGAAATTTAACACAACATTGTACACCGACTATATTCCAATGAAATCTTTTTGAAAAATGCAGACTCTCAGGCCCCAGCTCAGACCCACTGAATCAAAATCCAAAGTTTAACTAGATCCCCGGGAAAAGCATGCACATGTTAAAATCTGAGCAGCACGGTTCCATGGCAGTGGATTCTGGATCCCTGGACACAGTAATAACAGTAACTGTGCTTCATGCGTGTACCACAGTGCTGCTTCCACGCACATATCTGAACACAGGCTTCACAAATAGGGAAGAGACTTTTATCCTCGTTCTGCTAAATGACAAAATCAAAAGATTCACTGGAAACCCGAGGCCTCCCAGCCACCAAACAAGAAGCCAACACTAAGCCTGGCACAGTGTCAGGGCAACATAGCTTAGGGTTTTCAGGAAGCGGGGTGCTCCCTGGGGTCTCCCCTAGAGGTGGAGACCCCGGGGCAGCCTACAGCTCAATAAGGGTGAAGGTGCCATGGGTACCCACCCACCCATATGCCAGGCACTGTGCCTGCCTCTTCCCACCCTACCCGGCATCCCCATCTGCTCACTTTTTAAGGGGTTCAGGAAGGCCCGCGTGAAGCCCAGGGCATAAGTCACCTCCGCCTCCGAGGCCCCTTCTAGGCGCAGCAGGTGCTGCTCCCAGGGGGAGCTGGCCACGTGGACCAGCTCTGCCAGCTCGCGGGTCCCCACGCCTGGGCCCAAGGCCAGCACAAACAGAGTGATGCCCTTGCACTTGGCCTCCAGGGACAGTCCTTAATTTCTCCCTGTCCCAGCTGCTGGTCTCGCTGGCCACGATGGCAAAGAGGACCTGAGCCCTCCAGAGCAGCGGGACAGCCGGGAGCACCTTCTCCAGTGTCCACTCCAGGGCATGGCCCAGGGCGGGCACTCCCCGCAGGGGGTGGCCCACGGCCTCGCAGACGCTCCTCTGCATCTGCGTCCGGTGGCCATACGCGGTCAGGTGGAAGCCCTCGAGCACAGGGGACCGCCCCCCTCCAGGCCAGAAGCCGGGGGTCGTGTGTGTCACCAGGGCCACGCAGGCTCCACGGGGGGGACGCGCTCGGCTGCCTAGCCACCTCCACCTCTTCGAGCACGGCGTCCACCAGGGTCAAGGTTGCGCGGTAGAGATCGGCGCCCCCGCCGCGAGAGCCATCCACCACAAAGGCGATGTCCACGTCCACCTGCAGGGGCCTGGGCGTGCTCCGCCCACACTCCGGGCCGGAAGGCACTGATCTGCGGAGGAGAAGCCGGGTTACCATGTGTCCTTTCCCTTGCCAGGCACACATGCTTCCCGGCACTCAGTAGGGAGAGCGGCTGCTGAAGCCTGCCTGCCTGGGGCTGACTTCGGCCAGCAGACGGGCACGTAAATAAACATGCCTGGTTTTCAGAAGGCAGAGTTGAGAGTACATCTGACTCCACAGTTAATGTTTCTAGCCACTAGGCCATATGGCTTCCTAACCCCTAGGTTCACAGCCCCGCTACTTGGTACAGTCAGGCTGGCCTCTTACTGGGTGTGTGACCTGGGGCACATCTGTCTGATGGAGATAGAAAGCGGAAGTGAGAGTGAAGTCGCTCAGTCGGGTCCAACTCTGCGACCCCATGGACTGTAGCCTACAAGGCTCCTCCGTCCATGAGATTTTCCGGGCAAGAATACTGGAGTGGGGTGCCATTGCCTTCTCCACCGATGGAGATAATGATACTCGTAATAATAAACCTCCCTTATGGAGCTGTTTGCGCAGTTTTTAACTTTAAAATGAGTTAATATACGTAGGTGCTCAGAACAATGCCTGTGTGGTCAAAGCTCAGGCTCCACAAACTCCAGCTGGGTTTTCGCTTGTGCAGGAGGTGGGCACAGGCCCAGAGAGACCACAGCGTCAAACACAATAGTGAACGGGAAAGCAGTTCATCAGCTGTAACGAGCTCCACGAACAGCAGTTCCTGTATCTGACCAGGTTTTCAGAGCCACGCCTCTCATGGCAGTTTTAGGACTTAGTGTGGATTCAAAAGAGGGAGCCACAGAATCCCCCTTTCGCTTTCCTGTCCAGGACTCGGGGTGGCCCCAGGGGAGGTGATGTGCAGGACAGCTCTTCACACGTGGGCGTGCGTGGGTTTCAGCAACACTGATCTTTCTGTGTCCAGGCCGGTGTTAGGTGTGGGAAGCTGGGGTCTCTCCGAGACCCTGCTGGTGGCCAATGGCAATTCCAGGCTGAGAACTCAAGGCTCTTGACCTTCGTTCAGTGGTCTGCCTGTCACACTAATGGGCCAATGAGGAAGGGACATGAACCCAGGCATATCCAGGAGCCTTGGCAGGACCGGTAAGGAGGCGGAGGGGCTGGGATGAGAAGCTAGGGAGCGGGAGGGACCGGATGGCGGGGCACTAGCAGACACTTTCTTTCCAAAGGGGGCAGGCACCGCGCATCTCTGGCTGACTGTGGCCACAAGGGAATGCCGTGTCTGAGACTCTCCAGCCCATTCTGACTTCCCAAGAAAAACGGATACACATCTGTGGAGCAGAGCTGGCCTGTGGCCACCAGCTAATTCACCCTGCTCTGAAGACATCAATCCCAGCAGCAGTGCCGTCCAGGCTTACCACAGCAGAGAGTGCAGCGGGCCATGCCTTCCGCAAGCTGCTGGCTCTCCGTCTCCCAGACATACAGATGAAATCTGTTGTTTCTATTCATCTAGTGCCAACACATACACGAGGTTATCATTAGCAGAGCTAAATCTCAGGCCATATTTTTCATGCACCTTCCAATTCAGATGAGAAAAACATTAATATGATATTTTTAAAGAACACGTGTAACTCTCTATGTCTATATAATTTGGCATTTCTAGTCCAGCTATTTATAGTCACTTAGTTCTCCAGTCCTAACCTGGAGGCTGGACACATGAGGTGTGGCCACGTGAGGTGTGGCCACGTGTATAAAACTCAACCAACGTCAGGTTGTGTTGGAGTGAGGGTAAGGGAGTTAAGGCTTCAGTCATCTATAAATTCTGTAAATCTTCAGCAATTGTCCACCGTGTGTGATGCAGTGTGGTGGGAGTTATTAATCATGAACATGCAGACCCTTCAAGGACATGGCCACAGATCCAGGTCATAAGCCACCAGGATGGAAGGAGGCAGAAATCATCAGAGAGTCCAGAGCTGGTAAGAAGGAGGGAGAACCAGGGAAGGTTTTGTAGGGATGACAAATCCATTTGTCTCCTTCACAGAACCTTTCCTATAATGATTAATTTAGTAACTGATATCAGGTTTAAAAGACAAATTATATTAACAGTAATGAATCCAGCAAGGTCCATGTGATAACTGGCTAGACAACCAACAAACTTATTCTCTCTTCTTTTGAAAACTAGACTACATTTTCATCCTTCCCTGCAGTCACTTGGACCATATGACCAGGGTCTAGCCAACAGCATGGAGGTGGAGGCGGTGAACGCCATTTCCAGGGTATGCACGAGCTCCCCCGCCTCCTTTGGCAGCCAGCTGTGGGGGATTCAGAAAAGGCCTTGAGTCCCTAGGGCATGATGGGGTCACTGACAGAAGGAGCCTGGGTCCTGAATGCAGCAAAGTACCCTTCCCTTCACCCACACCCCCAAGGAATCCACATCACTGGTGACAGATGAAGAAATAACACTTCCTGGTGTTGAGCCCCTGAGACTGGGGCAGGAAAGCTCTGGCTAATGCAGGCTCTTTGCAGGGCTTCCACCTTGTAATGATTAGAAATACTTTCATATTATTTCTCTCAGGAATTGAGGTGTGGATTGCAAAGAGCCAGATCTAAGCTTAGTCATGGCCATGTGGTTTTCCACTCTGTCAAAGCATGTAGGACAGGGACTTTCCTCGTTGAGAATTTGCCTTCCAGTGCAGGGGGCACAGGTTCGATCCCTGGTTGGGAAAGACCCCACATGCCTGTGTGGGGCAGCCAAGCCCGAGTACCACAGCTCCTGAGCCTGTGGTCCACAAGAGAAAACCGCACGCTGCAACTAAGGCCCAGCACAGCCAAATAAACATATAAAATAAATCATTTTTTTAAAGCGTGTAGGACAGTACCTCCCTGGGAGTCAGCACTGCCCCCTGCATCCCTTTGGCTGGGACCAAGCAGACCTGGCCCCTCCTCTGGTGGCAAGGTGCTCAGCATGCAAAGATGTCATGCCTGTCCTCAGGGAGCAGACGGGCAGGGTTTACTTTGGAAAAGAACATTCTGGAACACACACGCCTTACAGAGCATTCACTCTTTCTGTTAGGACTGCCGTGTATCCCCAGCGTGATCCTTCACACTGAGCTTTCCTGAAGGAAAAACCCTTGTGGGGAAAGAAATACCTAGAGTGGAACTTTTTATAACACAAAACAAACATGAGAACATTCCTAAGTCTTCCGTGCTAAAAGCCATCCAAAATGAGGCTTTTTCCTGACTTATTGATTCGAGTCAAGCGAGACAGATGAAACAGCTGCTATGTAAAAGACATAACAAACCATTTGGAGACACAAAAATGACAGAGTCACACCTTCAAAGAGCCTTAAAACCTAAGTGGAAGGATGGAGAAACCATTTTCAAGAAAGAAAGAGACCCCATAACACGTTTTAGTAACACAGGAACCGGAGATTCATTTCAAAGCAGATGGATAAAGGGAACCTGATGAGGATAACGACATCTGGCACTTTGGGGAGAATCAGGACGACCCTCAACTGGCAAAAAAGCACTATGGTGTGAAGGAACAGCATGCACGGATGCCCAGAGATAAGCAGTGGTTATTCATGATTCTTCTCAACATCCTCTACCCCCAGAGACAGGAGAAGACAGACTCCAACAGGCAGCACATCTGAAATCCTGCAACACCCAGCCAGATGGAGGAAGCTGACACGAGCAGCGAGTGCGAAGTTGCCAGCACCCAACACTCAGATCCATCCCACACAGTCATCAGATCTGAGTGTCGACCAAACTAAAGTGGGCGTAATAAATCACCAAGCATTAGAGACAACACTGTCGGCATGGATGTGGCACATTAACAGCTTTCCTGGAAACCACGTGAGGCAGCTTGGAAGGCTTCTGAAACAAGGATCCACAGCAGTGTTCCAGGAGATATGAGAAGTCTGCGGTCACACTGGGAATGTGGACTTTCCTCCAGGAGTTGTGGGAAAAGGCTAACCTGGGGAATATTATGCTTAAATGGTGGGAAACATGGTTAAAGTGTCTTATAAAACGCAAAATTGATGAGACTTTTAGAGGTAGTATGAAAGACTTCAAATAAATTCAAGCATACCCTCAAGTTTGCATTAATTATAAAGGAAAGTTCTAGGCAACATCAATGGAACTAGGTGTCGGGAACTCAGGTCCTAGCCCTTGGTTTGCTGGAGTCGGCTGGGTGGCCTTGGACAAGCCTTTGGCCTATTTCCCCAACAACAGCACTTGGGGTAGGAGTCAGTGCTGCTGGGTTTCTTCCTGTCTCAACACAACCTGGTCCTTCATTAGTGTTCCCTGCATCTGCCTTGTTCGAAACACGGTGTTAACTTTCTGCTCACAGCAGCTGAACTCCTCCGTCTGCTGTTCTGCTGGCTGGAGAACAACCAAATCCAACTGAACTGGAGTCACTACAAAACTTTTATCTTTTTTTAAACTCCAAGGAAGAATGCTTTTATGATAACGCTTAAAACTTGCAAAGATCAAATTGTGGGAACAAGTAAACAAAGACACAGTGGAGGTCTGTGGGGACCTCTGATTCACTTTAGACTTATTTGCATCTAGCTGTTGTTCATTAACAGCTCATTACTTTGACTTCGGGCTTGCCGGCACAGTCGCTGATAAGGTAGACAAACAAGATGATTCTGAAGAAGGCTCAAGCAGAGGGATCCTGAGAGAGGGAATGTCAGCGTGAAAAGAGGAACCCGGCCCCATGATCCCCACTGCAGACGCCCCTCAGCGCCAGAGGAGGAAATCTCACCAACAGGTGCCTGAAACACAAGCTACGTGATGCACAACAGCTCAAGGATGAACTGCAGTGTGAATCAGCACCTCTCGTGACTCCGTCAACCAGCTTCCCCTCTGAAAGTCCAGCTGTGCTCTGATGAGACTGAAGTGCGGTGAAGTCGCTCAGTCGTCTCCGACTCTTTGCGACCCCATGGGTTGTAGCATGCCAGGCCTTCTCAGTCCATGGAATTTTCCAGTCAAGAGTACTGGAGTGGGTTGCCATTTCCTTCTCCAGGGGATCTTCAGTTCAGTTCAGTTCAGTCGCTCAGTCGTGTCTGACTCTTTGCAACCCCGTGAATCACAGCACGCCAGGCCTCGCTGTCCATCACCAGCTCCCGGAGTTTACTCAAACTCATGTCCATCAAGTCGGTGATGCCATCCAACCATCTCATCCTCTGTCGTCCCCTTTTCCTCCTGCCCCCAATCCCTCCCAGCATCAGAGTCTTTTGCAATGAGTCAACTCTTCGCATGAGGTGGCCAAAGTACTGGAGTTTCAGCTTCAGCATCAGTCCTTCCAATGAACACCCAGGACTGATCTCCTTTAGGATGGACTGGTTGGATCTCCTTGCAGTCCAAGGGACTCTCAAGAGTCTTCTCCAACACCACAGTTCAAAAGCATCAATTTTTCAGCGCTCAGCTTTCTTCACAGTCCAACTCTCACATCCATACATGACCACTGGAAAAACCATAGCCTTGACTAGATGGACCTTTGTTGGCAAAGTAATGTCTCTGCTTTTTAATATGCTATCTAGGTTGGTCATAACTTTCCTTCCAAGAAGTAAGTGTCTTTTAATTTCATGGCTGCAATCACTATCTGCAGTGATTTTGGAGCCTAAAAAAATAAAATCTGACACTGTTTCCACAGCTTCCCCATCTATTTGCCATGAAGTGATGGGACCAGATGCTATGATCTTAGTTTTCTGAATGTTGAGTTTTAAGCCAACTTTTTCACTCTCCTCTTTAAAGACAGGTAAACTCCGGGATTTGGTGACGGACAGGGAGGCCTGGCGTGCTGCAGTCCGTGGGGTTGCAAAGAGTCGGACACGACTGAGGGACTGAACTGAACGGAAAGACATGGTGCGTGGGGGAGGGGCCGGAGAGGATAAAGCACGGGGATTTGCATAAACTTTCTCTTTTTTTAAAATAGGTAACATTCTTGAAGGCTACAGACAACCTTCAAACCTCAGCCCCCAGCATTACAGAACACTCACTCTGTGGGCCCTGAGCTCAAGAAACCCGCAAGGTTCAAATCAATACTTGACTGCTTTTGGGCTGAATTCCCAGAAGCCGCAGGATGATGCTCTTTCCTGGGAATGAGCTGGAGGAGGCTCTTGGCTTGGGCAGATGGAAGAAGAGGGGAAGGAAGCCAGTGCTAAGAAGCAGGAGTCACCGTGAGCTGAGGAAGGGCTGATGGGACCCCAGGGAAGCAGAGTTAGAAACCATCTGGCATCTCATCCCAGCTCCAGGCAGCAGACAGGGCCCCACCAGGAATGCCACGAAGCTGCCGGCTCTTTCTGGCTGTCCCAGCAAATGCTGGGGGCCGGCCTTGGATTGGGGGTGTTGAGTGACAGAGGGGAACCCGGGAATCAGACCTCCAGGGTGCGAATTCAAGACTGGGTCTTTTAGATCAAGTCAGTTCAGCTCTGACCTTCCCTCACTTCCTCTGGGAAATGTTTTATCATAATTAACTTGCAGGATTAGTATGAGGATCAGCC